ATATTCATTTGCAGCTTTAGAAACTACACTCTGATTTCATGCTTGGCAAGAAAGCTACATTACAAATAATAAGCAGCATTATTTCCCATACTTAAATTCATTCATTTTAAATTTTGATATAAGTTTCCAAGACTGTCTTGTATACTAACTATACCATCTGGCTACAAAGAAAACCACACTATCCATAAAAAATGAGGTTGAATGTTAGCAAGTAAAACTTTCATGTTCTCATCCTTCCAAATTAACGCCCCGGTATTACAATGTTTTCAAATTCCAAAATATTACTATAACTATTTCACCATTAGAAATTGTTTTCTCATAAAAATGTGTGGACAGATCAGCATGGATAATTAAAAAATTAAAATTTTCTATTAAATATCTGAATGAAATATTCATAAATAGAGTATTCTTGTAAAATGTGATTACTTCATAAATTAAACCAACTCACGAAGGGATTAACAAACTGCTATTTCTCTTACACAGAAATAGCAAATTCTATATGTAGTGAATACTGAAGCTACTTTCCATTTATCCAATGTTTACTTAAAAGATGAGCTATTTCAAACATCAATTCACTGTGCTTCTTGATTGAGTCATGAATATTCCCATAATCCCCAACTCATAAACAGTCTCAGTGAATGAAGTTCCTTTTCTTTTTTTCTTTTCTTCAGATGACTTGACACCCATTCATGTTTTGGGACTCTTTACATGAAATAATACTACAGCTCTCATTTTCTTTTTGGGTCTTCTGATACTTGCTCTAAAAGTCTCAAACATAGACTAATCTGTAATTAGGTTTTGAATACACTGTGAATACCAAAAGGCCAAACCTGAGAGAAGGTTCACTTCCGTGGTTAATAACAGTTTAGAACAGGAGAAAAGAAGCACACACAAAACACTACCACATGCATTGAAATAAACCTTTTACAATTTTTGATGTTTTTAAAGAAAGCATAAAAAAACAAGCCCCAGTATACTATCAGCAAACCAGATATCCAAAGATCCACACGTACCTTAACAGAACTATTTTATAACATGCTGCACAAGCACTTTGTGCCAAGCTTTAAGACACCTTGTGAGATTCCACTGTAAAAAGTTGTTCACTATAGCACTGAAATGAAAGGAACGCTTCTTATTACGTAATATATGTTGTTCCTGAAAAAGTTTGCTTTTTATTAGGCAATTACACTGCATAAGTGCCCTTTAGAACTCAGTATTTAAAGGACTATGGAGTCTGGGGGAAACAAGGAAAGAAAAAAAAGGTAACGAGAGACCAGATTCAAGATTCTCAAAGATACAGTCAAAATCTCAGATTTAGCACAAGAAAAAAAATGTGCACCTTTTACAGTTGATAAAAGGATTAACCAAAGAGATAATAGTCAAAGGTGTATAGCTAAATCTAGTACTTATCTTCAAAATGTTGGCCCTATAGTTTTTCCCCTAGAAATAGGCATGATTATTTTTAAACAGACTCATTAATGAAGACAGAGAGAATATTTCTGCTTGTTACAGAAGGAAGTATCAATTCACATGTCCTGGAAAGCTGTTTAAGACTGGTACGTTACTTTTAAAG